TTTCCCTCATCCTTCGAATCAACCCTCGTTCCCTTTCGTAATATGCTTCCTCGTCCTCTGTAATGAGGACGGGTACTGGACGACACTTCTTATCTACCGTCTTGTACCGCCTTTGGGAACCCTGCTTGAGCCGTCCCCTAAAAAAGGCCGACTCACGGATTGTATTTGCGCTGATGTGGGGTTTCCTCCACCGTCTGGGAGCCGATATACCAATTCCAGTCTTCCTGCCTCGGGGCATTCCAGAACTTGCTCCCTCAAGGCCTGGATGGCATCCGGATCTGCCATCTCATGCACGGCCACTAAATCCATGGCCTTTCCCAATATCTGACAGGTTGAGGGAAAAGGCTTCCACCCTCTTTCCTGCCTCGGGCTCTGCCCAGAGCCTCCTACGCTCCCCTTCCGACTCCTCGATTGTGAATGATCCTGGATTGGGCCGGTTCCTTATACTCCTTGGCCCTGTGTTCCTGCAAGTAATTATTTCATAATTCCCGCAGCCAGGATCACATAACAGGAGGATCAACGTCCCATCATGTTTGTTAAACATCACGGTTTCTGTCCTGCTTAAGAATGACCTCCCCAGGAGGATTCCATGGTCCACGTCTGGCATTATGAAGAAGCATGCCCTGACCTTCACCTTTCCAACCTCGACGAGCACATTCGAGGCTGTCCCGCAAAACACGGCCTTACAGTTAGCTCCATGCAGAACACTGCAGTCGGAACGGTCTATATCTAGCCCGAATCTGATCGCGTCCGCCTCCCGAATAATGTTCATCTCTGCCCCAGTGTCCACCATTGCTGCGCACTTGGAACCCTTCACCATCAAATCCACCGTACCGCAGGCTACGCATTTCCAATCCATCTTCGTGCCTGACTCTGACCATTCTGCCTCCTTGGGCAGAATCGTACCCAGATGGACATTGGGCACCAAACGTCGCGACAACCTCCCCTTCAGTTCATTGCGGAGTCGCGGGGCTGACGCTAGGATTTCTTTCAAGGTCATCAGGTCATTATGCCCTTCCAACAGCCGGTCAATCATCTTCTCCACGTCAAATCCTTCTTCCAACCGGACCATGTATTTCTTCCTTTTGAGCGGTCCGTCGCGCATGACCGGCTCGATCTCTCCCCTGGTTCCCTTTTTCCTCGCCCGCTGCTCCGCTTTCTGATCCTCCTCCCTACGCAGCCTCTCGTCCTCTTCCTCTTCATCGTCATCATCCTCATCTTCTACTTCCACGGCCTCCTTTCTCTTTTCTGGCTCCGCCTCCCTCCTCGGAGGTTCTTGGCTGGCGTTGACTCTGGCTTGATTTCTCGTTCG